CTGAGTGTCCTCAGAGGTCAAGATGGCTTGGTTCCATGCATTTACAGATGTTTCAGATAGTTCATTCTCTGTAGTCTCTGCAATTGAACTAGTGTAAACAGTCAAATTCAACTCTGAATTCCTTTTTCTTCTGTAACCTGACTCATGTGCAAGTCTGCTGCTTTGAGACTGCTCTTTACTGCATTGCATCTGCTATCTGCAGTGTGTTATTGTACAATCAGCTACAGTCTCATTACTTATTGAAGTGTGACATTCACCTGATTTCTTCATTTCTTTCCATTCTTTCCTTGTAATCATGGAAAGATCAGAATAAGTGAGATCATCTGGTTTGTAAGTGTCTATGATTTCTCTTACTTTGTGAGACTTTTCAATTGTAAGTCTCTTCTTTTTCAACACTGACAATAGTGCTGCAGATGATCATAATTTGCTCAGGTCTTGCATCTTTGCTTTCACAAGTTATAAATCATTGATTAAGTTGTGTAAGATCTGTCTCTCTGGTTCTTTCAATGTGTACATTCTCAGAGAATGTGATTTGAGTATCTTATATGACTCAAATCACCTAGATTGAAACTTCTCAGAACTCTCATTGCATACAAGAACTCACATTCTCATCTTGAGACTTGATTTCTTAACAAGTGAGTCTCATATTCTTTTTAATTGAATTGCTCAGTTCAGGAGTAACTCATTAGCTTTTGCATGTGTATGGCTGATCTCTTTCAATCTTGATTCTGCATCCACAACTGTTGCATCTGCAACTGCTGTTCCTGCTGCATTCACAACTGTTGTTCCTGCTGCATCTGCAACTGCTCTCTCCCTCACCTTTTTCAAAGCATCCTCCGGGATGCGCGGATGCAATCCATACAACAGGTAGAATGATGAACACTTGAAGACTGCATGCTGTCAAATTCACATGATCAACAGCATCTGCCTGAGATATTCATCTCATAGTCTCATAGGCTTGCTCACTAGATATTTCATCAGCATGTTGTCCAAGATTTCATTCAAGTGTTCCATCTTCCTGTTCATCTGCAGATGATATGGCGTTGTTCTACAATGTCTTATCTGTAACTGGCTCACAAAATGCCTCACTACTCCTCTCACAGGTCACACTGTATCAGTTAGAATCTC